AACGAGCTTTTGGATATTAGTTCTTATGAAGATGGCCATGTAAGTCATATGTGAAAATGCTTAAAAGCAGCAAAACACATTGTCGAGCATACAAAATGTCTGCTAGATAACACGCATATTGTTATTCCCAAGATTAATAAAAACTTTCCACAATAGGTTACCTCTTTAAAAATTGCTTTTATTGGATATTTAGCTGACGAACTTCTGTGTATGTTAACTTTTTCCAAGGTAATGTCACAGTGAAATTGGAGACTGAAGAAAAACGATTAAATTTGACTGGGGATGAAAGAACATACTTCTCTCTTTATAACAGATTATCTTCCGCGTAAGGGGATTAATTTCACTATCCGTATTAAGCATGCGAATGCAAAAAAGACAGGCCACATGACCATTTTTTGAAATACTTACTATTCTTCCGTCTCTTCCGTTTCTAAATTACGCTTGAGCGGAACGTATTGTTTACAAATAACTATATTTCTATATGACTTACATTCAATAAGGCCTTCTATAGATTGCCTTCGCGGTAACATATGGACACTTTGCTTACGCGCAAGGTCAGCTATGCGGTAAAAGAAAATTTTCTACAAACACTTTTGTTACTGCATTTTGTGCAAAAAACTTTGCAGAATAGCTAAACATAATTTTTAAAACTTAAACTCATGCCTGTTTCTGCAAAGAGGGCGATTTATTAAACTTCCCTTCACTTCCATTTGATCAAATTCGCACAAATTTTTCCAGTTCTTGAAGGGATTATTACTCCACTTTTTTTTACTTACTATGGAATGCTTCCACAGCACAATGTATGTTAGAAGAAAGTTTGGTTCTGTCTTTCTTTAATATAAACTTACTGATGATTTAGCCAAAATGAGCGCCTGTTTCCCACGGCCATGTGTAAAGCAAATAAAACAAGGAAACTTAACTGAATTCATTTAGCTTCACTGGAGCTTAGCATTTATACTGAAAGAATAGATAATTACTATCCATGATAATCAAAGTACTCATTAGGTGATGGCTAGCGATTTGAAGAATAGACAATGTCTACTGCTTTATCCATACTAATTGTAGGTCAGTAATCAGAGCAAAGAGAAGAATGACAGAAACTCAAAGGGATTTTATGACTTAGTCTGAGGAACTATCCAAATTCATTACTTTGGACGATATGATACGAACATATCAGTGTCTAGGGCTCCTTGAAACGGTGTGTAGTGTGTTGGTCCTTTCGTTGTGTTTACTGATACAATGTAGCCTGTGTGGAGATATGTACGGAACTGAGCTTTCCGTGTTGGGGTGCATAGTAGTATGTGTAGTGTTTGAGTCGTGGCGTAGTTAAGTTAAAGCAACCCATCTATCAATTTTGACTCCGTGATCTAGAATATGTGTATCAGACATTACCGGCAAACATTAGGACTTGCAGGATACGTATTTCTGCCTCATTAGGCGTCATCAGCTGCAGTTACCCAACTCCAGTGTATGTATCGCTTCTGCAAATACTACTTTTTAATGAAATGATGGGTGAGGATGTTGTAGCAGCCTTGCCAACATTTCTGATTACCTTGAAAAGGTAACAAACTAAATCAAGGCAAGGGCTACTGCACAGAGTCAAGTCGAAAACCTGTGTGAAGAACTCAAAACTACGTCTTCTAAAATAAATAGATATAATTTAGCCTACTAACATGCAAATATTACGTACTTTAGTATATTTTTAAAACATCAACTTCTGTTACCTTAACATCCACAACAACATTCGTTTAAGTCGCATAATCTTCGATGTTCGCATCCGTCTGCCCAGTTCTGGGCAGAAATCCTTGCTACCTGGATTTTATACATACTAGTTGTGCGTTAGAATGACGCAATGTCGCTGACTTTAGTCCTCATCACAAATCTGTACCTTATTAACAACCTGATGATTTAAATCCAGTTAGCGAGTGTGCCAGTCAACCCTTGAGGCAACACCTGTTTGTCAATGTGGCGTGCTTTTGTGTTGGCCTTAGCAACGTTAGAGTTAAGTTTACAAACCGTGAACCTTTGCGGTTGTCATGCCTTTCCGGGACCATCGTGTCAATTCAATTAGTCCATCCTGACTATGGTCTTGTCGACTACTATCATGAACAGTAGTGCTGAATGAGCCAGCATGGTTAGGAAGCTGTGTCTATTAACGAAAAATTGCCCTTTTCAACTTCCAGTCATTGTTGCTTGCATGTTGGTCGTCTGACCTGCCTCGTGCTTGCTTTGGTAAACCGTTCACACTGGAATTATTATATTTGTAATGAACTCATTATCCTTACTTCTGGAGCAGCTTTATCAAGCTAGCTAGCCTGTCTTGCAGATGGAGAACTAATTTCCGTTTCGCTCATTGGATCCTGTTGTCATGTGGCTTAGGGAGCTAACAGAGTATAGACACAACACATCAGGATCACTTCGAGGATGATTTGTTAAGGTC